TATCATTAGCTTATACCCAATGTTACTGTAATTCGAAATCCGAATACTCACACCGATTAAAAAATAGTTACGCCTCGCAAATTGGTCACTTTATACGATATACAAACTACCTGAATCATTAATCCATGATTCTAATCGTTGACCAACACAGCTGTGCACAGATGACAATGGACATATTTGAACGATTCATTTGCTGAATACTTGTACTTACAAAATAAAAGTCCTTAAAATTTACAGTTATTAGTTGGTACATCACTTGTTTACAAACTAGTGACGCTAACACGGACCTTAAATTATATTGCGTGTAATAGGATTTCAATAATCAATATATCTATAAAGTAAGATTATACTAGGACAATATATCTTATAATCCATGTCAACGAATGATTTAAATAAGACAACCGCTGAAAACCAGAGAGGACTGGCCAGGTGTTTTGGGCTAGTATGTAGCTTCTCAACAATGCACATCCACAATCTCGCTGGGAAAATATAACTGATTTCCTTACTCTAAAATTCAATGGAGAGTAGAGATATGGTCAATAAATCTGCAACCTCATAGAAAACCGGCCCCCGAATGCCCTGGTACGGCCAAGAGTGGGGAGAGTCCGCTCTCCCTCTCGAAATACTCTCACACGGCCACGCGTATACAGCCTCTGCCAGGGAAGTCCTACTCATTGCCTTCTCGTGGCGGGGGTGTTGTTTACGAAAATGAGAGGACGAAAAGCGAATGTCCGGCGCTTTAACCGGATTCCAAACCAATGGTGCACATGGGCTCCAGTATCCTGAGGGAACAAATGGCGTATGAACCAATCGTTGGTCACCGGCTACCATGGGATTGCATCTCCTTACGATGCTCCACTGCCTTGGGGGTTAGACCTTTAGGTCAAAGGCTCGGGGTGTGGCCCCCTAAGATAACCACCTGCTTCGGTTTGGGCACCCGGGCAGTATCACAGCCCACACACAAATAATGAACTCTTTATGTCTATGGAATTTACTTTTCTCGCTTCGAAAAACAGTCAATTGATTCAAATTATTATCATTACAAATATTGTCATTATTAATACTATTATTATTATCATCACTATTATTGTTATTATTATTATTAATATTATTATTATTATTATTTTCCACATTATTCACCCTCTTTTATACTTATACAGCGGCTCGTCTTTGGTGGAAATTCGACTGTATCTAAACGTTCTCGAGTCACTGTCCGGTTGAAAATTGTATGTTACCACCGAATACGAGGACTGAAGCAGTTTTTCTGAAACCACGTGCACCATTCAAACTGGCTGCCTTCAACGTTCGCACATTTATGCAGGTCGGACAACAGATAGGGCTGGCTATGTCTTTGGAAAGTCTTAATATCGACGTGTGTTGTCTATCCGAGACCCGTATTCAAGACTCTGGCGAAGTACTACAAATTCGATCTCCATCTGTCGCTTCGAATAGCTTGTTTTACGTGCGCTTATCCGGGGACCGTGTGGCATCTTCGCCTGGTCTTGCTGGCGTTGGTGTCGCACTAAGCGCTAGAGCTGAGGCAGCACTAGTCGATTGGATCCCCATTAACAGTCGGTTATGTGCTGTTAGATTAGAAAGTTCCATCAAAGTGAGAAGAAATCGGCGTGAGAAACGATGTCTTTTCGTCATCTCCGCCTATGCCCCGACAGATTGCAGCCCGGATGCAATCAAGGATGAGTTTTACCACCAGTTATCAGTTCTTCTCCAGAAAGTGCGTTCGACAGATATTGTAGTACTAGCCGGAGACCTGAATGCTCAGGTCGGGCGTCTAGGCACAGAAGAGAGTCGTTTAGGTGGCCGATGGGGACTCGTTGGTCGCAGGTCAGATAACGGGGACCGTAAGTAATGGTGGTGTGGATCTGTTGCCCGGAGAAAGACTTCTCGACCTTGAGTATGCGGACGATATTGTCTTACTGTGCGATAATGCCCAAGGCATACAATCCGCACTTAATCAGTTGGCAATCAGTGTCCGTAGGTATGGTATGTGCTTTGCACCTTCGAAGTGCAAAGTACTTCTACAAGATTGGCAAGATTCTAATCCTGTACTCACCCTGGATGGTGAGGAGATAGACGTAGTCGAGAAGTTCGTGTATCTGGGTAGCTGCATAAGTGCTGGTGGGGGTGTGAGTGATGAGATCGATGCACGTATAGTGAAAGCCAGAGCGGCTTATGCCAATCTGGGCCACCTTTGGCGCCTTCGTGATGTTAGTCTGGCTGTAAAAGGTCGGATCTACAACGCGTCGGTGAGAGCAGTTTCGCTCTATGCTTGTGAAACCTGGCCTCTCCGAGTTGAGGACGTTAGACGACTCTCTGTGTTCGATCATCGCTGTCTCCGAAGGATTGCTGACATTCAGTGGCAACACCATGTCAGTAATGCAGAGGTTCGGCATCGTGTGTTCGGGCACAGAGATGATAATTCAATTGGTGTCACCATCTTGAAACACCGACTTCGGTGGCTTGGACATGTTCTACGAATGTCGTCCCAGAGAATTCCACGTCGTGCATTATTTGCCGACTCTGGGACTGGTTGGAAGAAGCGGAGAGGTGGTCAGTGCATGACATGGTGTCGTGGTATGAAAGAAAGCTGCAAAGGACTGGCTTTTGTCGGTCCTTCACGACTCCCTGGTTGGGGTCTGAGAGATGGGGCTACACAGTGGCTAGAGACGTTATCAGATATGGCTCAGAATAGAAGCCAGTGGCGATCCTGCTGTAACCTTCTTTTACTTTCTTCATAAAAAGTGGTTGTGTCTCCCTTACCTGAAAGATTTCTTCTGATTGTACCTTGCTGTTCCCTCGTTACTACCACACTACCTTACACCAACCTCTTTGTTATTGTTCTCTTTTTTTTGCGCTCCTTAGTTTTTTTTTCTTTCTATTTCTCTTCGAATTCCCATTGTTTTGTGTGGCGCATATATATTGGCGCTTTCTTGTACCAATATTCATGTGTTCAAATAAATAAATAAATAAAAGAATAAATCCTTCACAGATACAAAACAACTGTACATTGTATTTATAGCATGATACTATTAGTAAACTGAAAATAACCGTATAAAAAGGTCAATAGTTGAAATTGTATAATATCATAGTATACATAATGAATAAGAAGAGAATTTAATCACCTTGTCTAAGAAAGTGAAGTATTGACATTTTGAGTTGAATTAAATGATACATTATTTTGATCATTGTCTAACTCCATTGGTTCATCAAAAGTGTTAGAAGAAATTAAATGTTCATCAGTCACCTCAGAAATATAGTTTAAAATTGCCAGTTGTTCTTCCAATCTACATATACGTTGATAATGACGAGCTATGGTTTAAGAAATAAAAACACAGAAAGTTACTGCTCTAAATATTTGATTAAATTTATTACGTTACTGAAAAACAATAAAGTAGTATATAGGCATATATACAGAACTAGAGTTGAATAGTATATGGGTTACATGATATTAATAACAAGACTGAATATGGATCATAGTGTACGGCTATCGTATTCTTTACAAAACTCCATACTTTGTACATATATAGTCTCTATATTTCCAAATTGAAACTTATCTTACAATTTGTACACTGTCAATATGATAGCATGAGAGAAAATCGTGTACAGATCATCTGTTTAATGATGTACTACATAGTTATTGCAAAAATAATATGGACTTTAGGTACCTGAACTAAACATACACTCATTAAAAAATATCTTTAGTAAAGATTGTGATCCACACTCGAAGACAGGAAATTACTAGGCAAGGGTTAATATAGGACTATGGTAATAATCCATTGTATCTTTTATCGTCAGTATACCAAACACCTTTGATATGAAATTGCATTGTGTAACATATTATCTAACGAAATTCAGCGTGAACTTTCTACAGTGTGACTTCTGTTATTCAATAATGACTAATGTAAGTTTGTATATGAGCAAGTTCATTCTTTGATATTTGGGTATCAATGTAATAAATCTTTTCTCGTTCCTGTTGTAGTGCTTACCTTCTTCATAGCGTCGAACACCATTAAAATTTCAATTCCAGTTTAATCACAGTTCTGGTGCCAATTTGTAGTTTAGTCATATTATAATTTCATTTGCAGTTATATTAAGTTCTATTTTCAAGTCGCTAGTTTAATCAAAATAACCCATTGTTTCATTAAATTGAAATAACGAGAATTCAACAATGAAAAGTTTCTTTTCGACAAAATCATTTACTTAAGCTGTACATTTGTATTTATAGTTGTATGTCAAATATATGCCCATTTATTGTTATTTGCTTGAACACATAAATAATGGTACAAAGGGGCAACGAATACATATGAGCCACACAAGCCACTTGATTTATGTGTGGGCTGTGATACTGTTCGTGTGCCCAGACCGAAGCAGGTGGTTTTCTCAGATGGTCTGGCCTTAGATCGACTCATGCATCTAACTGTTAAAATTACTACAATCTCAACAAATCTCTATACTGAACAATAATCATAAAAAATTCTCAAACGATAATAAGAACTGATTATAGTTTCGAATTACAAAACAATAATTTTAAAAAAACAAGACCAAAACATACTACAAAAAAGGGAATTAGGGTCGAGGATGGATGAGAGGTTAGACGTATCGTTTTGTGCGTGGGGTTCACTTTATGATGAAATTTTCTCTAACCCTTTATGGACATATATTTAGCATACAACTATAAATAAGAATGTACAGCTTAAATAAATGATTTTGTCGAAAAGAAAATTTTCTTCGCTGAATTACATTTAGTTTAATTAAGAATAAATCAGAAGGGACTTTGTGAAGATTGTAGTAATTTCAGTAGTTGTGATCGTGAGTCAATTGAAGCTAGACCACCATGGAAAACCTAAAACCACTGAACGGCCGTTTCGTCCCAGTATGTGACTCCTCAGCAGTGCGCATCCACGACAACGCCTCGAACCCAGGACCTATCAGTCTCGTGTGCGAACGCTTAACATCTAGACCACGGAGCCGGCCGGCATCCAACAGTGTTAATGTCTAACTTCAACTAATCCACGAAATTGAGCGACACATCCACTATTGTCATCAGTGAGTTACTATCTCACAGTGGTCTATTGGTTAAGCGTTCGTGCGCGAAACGGATAGGTCCTGGATTCGAACCCCACGAGGCGGGGTCGTGAATGCGCACTGCTGGAGAGTCCCGTAATAGGACGAAACGACCGCCCAGTGCTTCCAGATTTCCCATGGTGGTTTAGCTTCAATTGACTCATGGTCTCAACTAAGAATAAAATTTCAATTTTATCAAAAAAGGTCTAACCGTGGGTGTAATTAATAAATTATGGACTTGTATTATGACTGATATATTTTCCATAGGTGAAAACTGACAAAAATATGAATCCGTAAAAGCTGTATACAAAATGATAAAATCATCACTATTCATTCTGCAAAGAACTGTTCAAGAGCCTATATATAATTAACATCAGGAATACGTTTATTATCCTCTTGGTATTACAATCAAAGACACTACAACCAATCACATAACATACCATTACATAGTTAACTGTCAATATCACAGGAATTGTTGTTTATCTGTATATGCTGTCCAACCAAACAATAAATGAAGCATCTTTTATGATGTACAGTCAATCTACAATAGGTATAAAACGGAACTTACTTGTATACGGAAGGAGATATTGTATCGCTTGATTAAAATTTGGCCATTCAAGTAATTCTTCTGGTTTCCAACGGGTTAGAATCCAATTCAATACAAACTGACTTATCATTGATGTTCTAGTCCTTGTATTCCAGTTGATAGCATAAGATAAAAGTCGTTGACTTAGATTAAGTGAATCATTAAGACTTTCACTGTGACTTTTATTTGCAAAATCATCAAGTACTGACAATAAGTTCGCAGCTTGTGTTGGATATTTGATACTTTGATTATCTTTGCAAGTCTGTTTGAAATTATCTTGAGTCAAAAGTTCTACAAGCATATAGTAACAGAAACAGTTATCATATTTCGAGTTACTAGTCGTTAATCACCAACCTAGTAGAAATTACTAAAAAAACGAAATAACTTCGAACTACAATTATTCCGACAATTTACAGTACTTCTTCCGATCTATTAATATTGATTAGAGAGAAAAATTGAGCTGAAGTGTCAAAAATCAGTTACTCTCTTTAGTTTATGGAATTTAATGCTATTTTCATCTGTTATATTTTACAAAGGACATTCGTATATGTTTACTGTACAACTGGAAATATTTTGTGTACTTTGGTCTATTGCGTAGTCCGATCCGAGAGGATCACCGGTAGTTCAAACAGTAAATCCTGACCTTCAATCCTCATGACTTTTTGAAATACATAGTCCAGTTCCTTTCCTTCACACAACCTATAACCGTGTCATTGTGATGAATTTTGGGCTATTAGCCATTGTCTCCAATCATTGGTTACAAGTATTTTTTGGATCCTAGACAGGAAGTCAAAGCCATTCAACATGGCCTTTTAAGCGTCAAAAACATCAAAAACTATATTTAATAGAATTGATCGAATTTAACAATATGTGGAGGCACACAAGTAGCAAATATTCGTATTATTTATTTTTGTGTTTTAAGTAAAAAAAGAGTTTGAACTGTTAACTGAGCGATTTGATATTGTTCAATCACACCATTCTACTAATCAATGAGTATTCAAACATTAACGAAAAGGTCAGACAGTGAGTTAGACATAACCAATGTTGAGCCTGGTACTGTGGTGGACGCTACTCACAAGTATGCAGTATGTAGTGAAACGTGGGGTCAAAATTCAAACAGACGTCAGACGGAGAGAAGTTTCAGTAGAGCGAAAGCATGGCGTAGCAGAACACTTGGAGACTATTCATATTGCAAAACGCATAGAAGATGTAAATGGACATTGAAAGTTATGTGTCTGTATTATGTAAACGCTTTGTAACTTTCCAAAATAAATAGAGATTCAGTCTCCCTATTGCCTTCTTTTAAAGTACGACTGTGCGTTAACACAAGGTTGTTATGTTAAACCACAAAACAAAAATATATTCGCAAGAGAATCTAGTGCGAATTGATTGAAGATTAATTGGGTGGAAAATAAACAGAAATCGCTTATCGAGTGATACAAGAGAAAAATGTTCAGAAGGAAACTGTTCGATGAAAACTGTTTTCCATAAATATTCAAGAAAACGTAATCTTACCCTGTAGTATGTCTAATGTTCGCTTGGGTTGGTCTAATTTGACAGCCAAATGAACAGCATCGGCATACATTTGTTTGTGTACAAGATTATCCAATTCTTGTTGTCTATAAAACCAATATCGCGTAAAAATAAAATTAAAAAATCGCAATAACTCAGTAGTTCAGTGGATAATCCGTCTGTGTTTAAAGCAATAGGTACTAAGTTCGAATCCCAGAGTGAAAATACACATTATGATGGATAAACGCTTAGCTCAGATTGAGGTATTATCAGCGAGATTTACCTTCTTAGACAAAAAGTGCGTAGAGTAATATCTGGAAATGATTCTCAGATCCTGAGACACAACACAAAACTATACTTCGAGCATTTCCAAAGCCCATATTTTCTAATTAGAAAGAAACTATTTCAGGAATATGCTCCATAAAACGAGCATATCAGTCTTCGGGGAAAATATTCTAAAGCTCAGCACTAACTAGACTTTACCCGATAAATTAATAAATGTTGAAGCCACTACGAAACGCATGGTTGCTTATAGCAGGAATGGATATAGGTGTTGTTAGAATAATAGTACAAACTAAGTTATTTTGTTGAGCATAACATAGCAGGCTAGACAATATCTCACAGTCGTGTGGTAAATGTAATGAAAGCGTCGGGCAGAAACTGGGAAAATAAGTAAATTATTTACTTGGTCAATGTTACCATATACATTCAACTATAAATATGCTAGATTTATTCGGCTTTTGATGATAAACACTCCGACACTTGGTTTTGCTTTCATTCTCTGAATACTTGAGTCGATCAGGCGTTACCAGCAAACATGGGAACTAAATAAGACTGAAAACCATACAATAAGAGTTGATAAGTGGAACTCATAGCAGTTTTTGAGCCCATACTGAGAACCGTAGTTTGTGTTCTAGACAAATAATTCAGTGATCCAAAAATGTTTGCCTACGATAACATTCGGTTTCACAACAGTGGTTTATTATGCCTTCACTAACTGTCCAGAATGAACCTTTAAAGTGAGTCAAGAAATCATACAGACAGATAATCATAACCCCGCTACAAGAAACTGTGAAAACAAGGTCGCTCTTCGTATAGTAACACCTGGTGATATAACTCATTTGTAAAGTAAGGATCTGTGTGCTCAGCTTTGAGCTATACTTTATGCGTGAATGCTGATGTTACTACCCCCGACTGCCCGAAACAAAGTAGTTGGGGAGGATCTGAAACTCACAAACTGGTGGTTGAAAATCGAACAACTCTGCTACTAAAACCACGAATTCATAAATAACAAAATTATCTGAACATTCAATGAGAGATTGGGTGATGTATGGGGTACTCAATATCCTCACTGATACCACCAATGCATTAGTATACCTTCAAAAATGTTGAATGTGTAACAAACAATAATGACCAGTCCCGCTTTATATTTGTGAAATGTGATTTATTTTAATTTAGGATATCCTATAACTAGCTTCCTTTTTAGTAAACCAGAGCGACCAGTCAAGAACAAAGGTAAGACTATCACTGAGATTCAAGAACAGAAGAACAAGTGGGTAGAACACTTTGAGAGACGTTAATAGACGAGCCCCACTAAACCCACCGGATATAGAAGCACCACACACAAACCTTCCTATAGATTTCACTCCATCAACCATAGAACAAATCAGCATGAACATCAGACAAATCAAGAGTGGGAAAGCAGAAGGATTTGATAATATACCAGCCGAAGCACTGAAGTCAGACATAGAAGTAATTGCAAGCATGCTCCACGTTCTATACAGAAAAGTGTGGGAGGAAGAACAAGGGCCGATAGACTGGGAAGAAGGACACCTCATCAAGATACCACAAAAACAAGATCTCAGCAAGTGTGAGAAATACACAGACATCACAGTACTATCAGTTATCAACAGGGTGTTGCTGAACTGGATGAAAAATCTAGTGGACGCCCAACAGTCTGGATTCCGTAATAATCAGTCGTACACAGATCAAATCGTAACACTGCGGATCATTGTTGAGCGATCAGTTGAATATATTAACTTCCTTAACTATGAGAAAGCGTTTAACGGTGCGGATAGGATAACCTTATGGAACCTTCTTCGACATTATGGTGTGCGTAAGAAGATCGTCAACATCATACGGAATTCATACGACAGATATTCAGAGGTCGTGTACGGAAGACAGCTGACAGACGCATTCCAAGTGAAGACCGGTGCCAGGCTAGGCTGCTTTCTCTCCCCCATTCTCTTTCATATGATGTTTTATTGGATTGTGAAGACCTCGACACAGGAGGGGAAACACGGAACACAATGGACAGCTTGAATGCAACTAAACGATTCGGACTTTGCACATGACCTAGCTCTTCTGTCCCATACAGATGAACAAACGCAGGTGAAGACGCCTAGTGTAACAGCAGTCTCTACAGCAGTTGGACTCAACATGCACAAGGGGAAAAGCGTGGTCTCGAAACACAACACAGAAAATACCGACCCGACCACAATTGATGGAGGAACTCTAGGAGAGGTCGAAAATGTCACCTAGCTGATCAGTAGTATCGACGAACTAAGAGAATCCGATACAGATGTAAAGGCGCTGACTGGCAAAGTAAGGGCAGTGATCCTACAGTTGAAGAACATATGGAATTCAAAACAACTGTCTCCAAGCCAACACCAAAGTCTGAATCTTCAATACAAACGTCAAGACAGTCCTATTGTACGGAGTTGAAACTTTCAGACCTACTACAACCATTATTAAAAAGTACAAGTATTTATAAACAATTGTCTACACAAGATAATCAATGTCCGTTGGTCGGATACCATCAGCAACAGACTACTGTGGGAGAGAACAAACCAACTTCCAGATGAAGAAGAAATTAAGAAAAGATATTGGAACTGGATCATCATCAAACTGCATCACTAGGCATGTACTGACTGGAAATCCTGAATGGAAGAAGGAAAGGAGACCAAGGGACATATTGCATCGGGAATTGGAAGCAGATATCAAGAGGATTAATAGCAAATGGAAACAGCTTGGAAGGATTGTCCACAACAGAAGTGGATGGAGAATACTGGTAGGTAAAATTTCTCAAAAATATATTTAAATATCTATAACACAGATAGACTTACGTTTGAATATATTCCTCTTGCTGTTGTGATGTTTCATTCAGCAATATTTCTGTAATATCCTTTAAAAAAAGTGAATACATTATTTCTAAACAATAAATCTTCATACGCAAAACAAACAAGAATAGACGTATTTATATGAGTAGCTTATTTAATAGCAAGTAAGTACGCATAAGTTCTATCTAACTCGAGATTCATAAGTGAAGAGGTAGCTTAGTGAGTAAAGTGTTCGAATTTCAGCCACTAATCCTCAGGTTCGAACTGCGCTTCTCCTACCTTGGTTTGGGTAACCAAGTAGTATAAAAAATATGAAAAGAAAAAAGACCACTCACCAGGTACTTGTGTATGAACCACACTCGAAGTGTAAAAGCTGATAATACTATCGTATACGACATTTCTTCAAAACCATCCGAAATACATGTGTGCTAGTAACCCCATAAATAGTAGCTATCAGTGAAATCTAAGAAGTGTGTTTCGCCTTATTTGAGACTAGAGCAACTTGTAAGTAAGTGACAATATAGAGACAATCCGCTACAGTGCATATATACTAATAGAGACTAATCAATTGCAGTCCTTAACATTAACAGCAAAAAAAAACATTTACAAACTCATTATTGATGCTTTAGTTAGTCAAACCAATTTTTATCACAAGTAATTCACTATTCTAAAATACACAGTAGAAATAGAAAACATCAAAAAACTACTGTATTTTTATTTCAGTTTTCTGTTGATCAGTCTGTCAATTATAAGATATGTAGGATCTGATACACATGTACATTAAATAAAGTTATCAGATTTCATGTCAAGCACCTAGGAAAGTAAACTGATAATGCGTAAATCAGAAGTCAAAATAATTATGATATTGAGAAAACTAAACGAGAACTGAAGTAGAATACCTCTCCATACTCTACTAGACGTCTTTGAAATCAAACTTCTAGAAACTGTGAAGGTAGTCCCTGTGTTGACCAAGTATGATACCACTTCTTTATTGTCCAGAAGGTGGATAGATTGAAAACCCAAATCGGTCAATCAGCCACATTCTTATGCAATTAGCGCTAGCGGATAATTGAAGAATACTACAGAATGTTCCTGCGTAAAATTGTAAATATACTAATGTCCTTACTGTGATCCACCTCCATTTAACTCGTTTATTTGGAATATAATTACATACCCGTCCAAGTGGCGTTCTGATTTGGGGACTAGTTGAGTGAACTAGTGTCCGGCGAATACCAAGCAATGAGGATGTCTGGGTCGGATTACGAAACGGTTTACACAAGGGTACTATCAACAGTATACCTCCAAGTAGAGTACATAAAACCATAGTTCATAAGTAAATTAACATTTCCATCTTCTCATCTATAGAATATTGAATAATCTTCCGAAAGCTAATTGCTTAAATAAATTGTCAGCCTATAATTTCAACTCATTAATTTAGCTCATTTATCACGTACAGCTTAGTGTACTGGGCTTTCAGCCATATTTTATTTATGAAGGCTAATATAATACTACCCAACTTTCAGAACAGGAGTAAGCGAAGGTAGATTCCTACCTTTAATCAAATAGATTGAGAATTGAACGTCCTAACCAATGAACCACTACTCCACTGAGGCATTAACAAAAAGAATAACACTTCTAGGTTTTCAATAGTGGTCTAACATTGATCAGTTCATGATCTCAATTAAAAACTCAACAATCTACAATCCTATACCTTTTTAAAAAAAAACATGTTAAGTGATAAATGTTAATCACCTACTTCAAAATAACACAATGTTTCATCTTCACCACCAGTGAAAAAACCAGATTCATCTGGGCAAATAGCTAATGACCATATTCTTCCATCGTGTGCTTCATAAACTAAAGATGAAGTTTCTTCAGAGGATGGTTTATCAACATTTTCAGATTTTTCTTGATTATTTTTAGGTGGTTTGGATACATTCCACAATCTTATTAATCCTTTCTGATCGCTTAAAAACATTATTTGGGAAAGAAAAATAAGAAATAAATATTAGGAATGTCATTTGTGAAATTCGACAGATGCATGTTAGAAACATTAAGGTATAGAGAATTATTAGATGAACATGTTACTTATACTTACAAAATCAAATCTTCATTTATCTACTCTTTAAACTCCCCACAGAAACTATCTTTCATTTTTACCATGCAAGTAAAGACGTTACTTTAACACGACAAATGTCTATCCAAATTTCAAGGTTTTTGTACATAAATTTATACGTATTCATCAGTATAGGGCCCTGGTACGGCCGAGAGTGGGGAGAGTCCGCTCTTCCTCTCGAAATGCTCTCACATGGCCACGCGTATATAGCTTTTGCCAGAGAAGTCCTACGCACTGCCTTCTCGTGGCGGGGGTGTTGTTTACAAAATTGAGGGGACGAAAAACGAATGTCCGGCGCTTTAACCAGGTTGGTGGGCATGGAGAGTCCACCTAGGGGAGTTAGAAAACCCTGATTCCAAACCAATGGTGTGCATGGATTCCAGTATCCTGAAGAAACAAATGGTGTATGGACCAATCGTTGGTCACCGGCTACCATGGGACTGTATCTTGTGACGTTGCTCCACTACCTTGTGGGTCGGACCTTCAGGTCGAAGGCTCCGGGTGTGGCCCCCTAAGAAAACAACCTGCTTCGGTTTGTGCACCCGGGCAGTATCACAGCCCTCACACATATCAAATGAGATCTGTATGGCGAATATGTATTTGGTGCCTCCTTGTACCAATATTTATGTGTTAAAATAAATAAATAAAAGTAAATGGAGATTGTTGAATTTTGATCGAGATTATAAATCATGTACTTTTTTAAATCAGTCTTCTCTGGTTTCTAGAATCAAATTACCTTTTGGAGTAGGTGAGTATCAGGGAGGTTAGTGTTATTTCGTGTAATAATATATAGAGTACAAATGGAATATATTCAAAAAATGGGATTGCAATTAACCACTTAAAACTCAGTCGTTAAAACATGATAGAGAAAATGTATGATATAAAGACATACGTTTATTTGTTTATATGAGATAAAATGAACACTTTTGACTTATTTATTTGAACACGAAATTTGGTACAATGGGTCACCGAATACATATACGCCACACAATAACAATGAGGCTATTGCCTTATGTGACGGCTGGAATACTGTCCGAGTGCCCAAATCGAAGCAAGTGGTTTTATTAGAAGGCCACATTCGGAACCTTCGACCTAAAGGTCTAATCCACAAGGTAGTGGAGCATCGTAAGGAAATTCAGTCCCATGGTAACCAGTTACAACAATAGGTTCATATGCCTTTTGTTCCCTCAGGATACTGGAGTCCATGTGCACCATAGGTTTAGAATCAGGGTTTTCCAACTCTCTAGCTGGATCCTTCGTACTCATCAACCCCGTTAAAGCACAGGACATTCGCTTTTCGTCCTCTCAATTTCGTAATTAACACCACCACTGTGAGGAGGCAGTGAGTAGGACTTCCCTGGCAGTGGCTGTATATGTGTGGTCATGTGAGAGCATTTTGAGATGAAGAGCGGACACTTACGGCTAGTCTATCTATCTATCCAATAGTGTAAACATGATCAAAGCGTATGACATGAGATTTCCTTAGCTAGAATTAACGGACTGATTCCTAGTCTTCATTACTTACTTTCTCATTTTACAACTTCTATAACATGTATAGAGAATGTGGACAACAATATTATTTTCTTCAACTTGTCCACCATTAACTTACCATGATAATATTTGTTTATCGTGAGAAAGAAAAACTGCCTTATACACTGGTTGATCATGGCCTTCCAATGTCTGAAATTAATGAAATTAACATAGCAATGAAGAGACAGTTTTAATCACGAATTGATAGCAGTGGAAAAACTATTGAAAACAACAAGTAAGTTATTGAACAGATATCCAATTCTAACGTGAAATTACTCAGTATTTCACATACATGACTCTATCAGGAATAGGATCCAGGAAATTTAAGACTCACATGTAGCACATCAACTTTAGAATGTTAAGTAAAAATCCAATAGTCTACACTTCCAATCTAAGTCTATTCGTGGTACGGCACGTCTGTCATTAACGAAGACAATATGTTTGATGAACACCTCTCATCACAACTTCTAGTTCTAAAACTTCAGGAATCTATCTTCTAGTTATATACTAATAGACCAATCTCCATAATACACCCGAATAAAAAAATGGATAAGTATGTGTTAGCAACTTGATTGTTTTCACAAATAGTTGTCAAAATTAACAATTGGTGAAAATAGTTAGTTATTCAATACAATATATAGATAAAGTAAGATATAAATCATGAATTAACTGGAAGAGTAAATCACTATATTTTGTATAAAATCTAAAGATAACGATTTAAAAGACTATCAATAATGTGGTGCTATCAATCCAATCACAATTGACGGAGAAGATTTGGAAGATGCAAAAACTTTTGCATATTTGGGCAGCATCATTGATGAACATGGTGGATCTGATGCGAATGTGAAGGCAATGATCGGAAAAGCAAGAGCAGCATATTTACAATTGAAGAACATCTGCAACTCAAAACAACTGTCTGTCAACCAACACCAAGGTCAGGATTTTCAATACAAATGTTAAGACGGTTCTACTGGATGGGGCGGAAACCTGGAGAACTACGAAAGCCATCATCCACAAGATACAAGTGTTTATTAACATTTGTCTACGCAAAATACTTCGGATCCGTTGGTCAAACACTATCAGCAACAACCTACTGTGGGAGAGAACAAATCAGATGCCAGTGGAGGAAGAAATTAGGAAGAAGTACTGGAAGTGGATAGACAAACATTGAGGAAAGCACCGAACTGCGTCACAAGGCAAGCCCTCACATGGAATCCTCAAGGCCAAGGGAGGAGAGGAAGACCAAAGAACGCATAACGCCGAGAAATGGAGAGAGACGTGAGAAGAATGAACAAAAATTGGATAGAACTGGAAAGGAATGCGCAGGACAGTGTGTTGGAGAATGCTGGTCGGCGGCCTATGCTTCATTAGGAGTAACAGGTGTATGTAAGTAACGATGTGGTGCTATAAAGGTTTATTCGACCACCAACACACAAAGGCTAATAGGAGACTTTGTAAATAAATGAAGTTATCAAAGTAATCAACCATTTCGACCAACATATTCATGCAATGAAGTGATGTAGATGTCTTGAAGTAATATTTTGTATTCGAAGGACGAAAATTGTAGTCTAATCATTTGTGTACTGTATCTCGATACATTTGAATGATTGACATTTAGTGAAAGGGTAAACGATAATAGTGGGCAAATCTACAAAAGCAGTTGTGAAAATTTCAGCAACATACTAAACGTAGGTTTCATGAGACAAATTGCTCTTGACAGCAAAAGTGAGTGGATTTGACCGACTATAAATCGATTCGCTGTGCAATGTCTGTTAGGAAAACATTCAATTCATCAGTTGCTTATCGAACAATCAGATACAAATTCTAGTAATTAAAATCAGTACATGACTGTGAGTAATTCAAAGTACAATCAATGAACAAATTGTATGGTTGAGAGACCAGAAGATGCAATTATGATGTATATTGGGAAACAACTTGTTGTAATTTGACAAAATAATGATATGGCCATTTTTATAACTGAGGACACAACTGGTTACTTACTGCTATATAACGAAAAGAAGACTGATGCTACTTACTGAATGGGAAGGTAAAACTGTGGATGAAGATTTTATTAGACACCAACTTCAAATACACAACTGATAAACATTGTACCAACAATTACAATGGGTCATATATGATTTCGTTATCTGATCACTAATTCAGTTTTAATACATTGAATGGGGGATTACTTGACATGAACTAACTAATTATTTAATACATGTTTACAATTGACAACAACAGCAACAACAGATATAACTGGATTCACTAACAAGATAATAAATTACTGAGTTGAATATCTGCTTCACCTGACGCTACTCATGAGTAACATAATGAATTAAATTAAAATATATAAAAAAGCCATTTAAACAGGAAACAGTCAACTTACACGGATACACGAGAAATCTTTCAAATTCCACAATCTTACATCTCCATCACCCGAAGCAGTAAGTGCAATCTTTAAAAATAATGTCAAACAAATATTGTACAATATTTCGTTTTACCAAAGACAAATATAAATTAAAAGGAAAACAATTCATAACACATAATGAAACTATCAGTATAGGGTCGTGGAGAACGTTAATTTTTTGATTAAGATCATGAACTGATTGATGTTATGCCACCACTGAAAACCTGGAAGCACTGGATGGCTATTTCATCCTATTGTGGAATTCCTCAGTAGTGGCCCTGAGATCGTGGATGCGCACTGCCGAGGAGTCCCACAATAGGACGAAACGGCGTCTAATGCTTCCAGGTTTTCAATGATGGTCTAACATCAATCGGTTCATGATCTCAAACAAAAAAATACAATGAAACTGTTCATGAAGTTATGGTTTATTACAAAAGGATAGGAAATTTTTACTTTAGCTTGTGTTATTCTATACAAAAAGAGTATTAACTTAAAGTTGAATTAATTGTGTTTGAAGATATCGTATGAAGTTACCTATAATTAATCCCAATATTATTAATTCAATCCTATGAAAATTCTCCGTGACTATCAACATAAGACTATTTCTGTATTTACGGAAGCAATACTAATGCCAGTGAACGGCAAATTCTTGATTCATGTTCACTTAATTCCATTAGATCTGTAAACAAGTTAAATAAATTCTTTTGTTAAATGATTAAAGGACTATTAAACACACACACACACACAAAATCTTGAGTTAAGCACATCTAAATTACAGTAAAAAAAATTAATGCTTTCAGTTTGTAATCATTCTTAATTCTGCCAAAGGTACAAGATCCTAGAATAAACTGTTGTATTCTCACTACCATACATTAGTTTTCACTCGAACATATGCATGTATAAACAGAGTGTCCTATGAACATATTACTCGCTTAATAGGTTGTCACATTTTTAATGGTATAAAAACACGAAATCAATAGAAGAAAATTATTATAGTGAGTAAATAGGATAAGGATTAAACATAGGAAAAATGAGCTAAAATCACTCTATATTTGGAATTTTATTGGTGAATTATAAATCGACTGTTGCCTTATTGGTCGATACCTTCTTAATCTGTTTGGCTACAACATTGGACCAGTTATTTTGTGTTGTTGTATACTAAGATTTGATTTTTTGCGTTCACCACCTTGAATGTGAGCTTGACATTTATTATTATCTTCAGTATGAGGTTTTGAGAAGATCAGTAGAATACTAATCTTAGTTAAGCCACCATTGAACACTAGAAAACACTGGACAGTTGTTTCTTCTTAGTATAGTACTCCACGCCAGTGGACTTTCATAACCCCATCAAGAGATCGGATCCAGGATATTTGGTCTCACAAGTGGACACTTAGTCAAGACTACTGACCCGAAATCCAATAGTGTACATATCTGACTTCAATCAATTTATGATATTGCGCGACACCTTTAATTAATTACTGTGGATAACTGCCCCACACTCGACATGCCTGAGCTCTACTAGTCACAACTCCTCACTCGACCTACGGGAATTGCATCTTAAAGCTATCCACCAGTGAGCACATGATGATTATTAATGTAGGGATTGAAAACGAATTTAAATATTATTGATTGGTTGACATCATATCTATTCCATTAGTTAACACATTAGTATCAATCACGTTTTATATGTAGTAGGTGCCCAGGCGTCACATCTAAAGTTTTACTAGCATACAATCTGAAACGAGACATCCAAATGGTTGGCTTAAACTCAACTACAAACCACGTTTACTTCTTTCTCAAGAAATGATCCTTACTTATGTAGTTCCAATCAAAGCAGTGATACATGGTTTAATTGTTAAATATTTAAATAACATGAAAATCGTCAATAAATAACCCATTTTCTTTAACAGATCTCTAGAATCAGGATAAAAAAAGGTGAATAGGTCTTACTTTCTCAAATCTTGAAAAGCAAACAGACCAAACACCTCTACGGTGACCCTGAAGAACCCCTTGACAATGTAAACTTTGTTTTTTAAATTCCCATATCTAAAATTTCATGAAATAAAAAAAACTAGTGAAATCACTGGACGAATTAATTGGTTAAAAGATACAAAATACTACATCATGAATAGGAACGTGTAAAACTAACAATATGAAATGTAATATTATTAATTATTTCATTAACAACTGAACGAAGATTCAGTTAACTGACCATTGTGTAAAGGAAAATACAATGAGTTGTTAGTTACCTTGACAGTTTTATCACGTGATGCAGTAGCAACAAGACGATTATCAACGGAAACATCAATTGAATTGATTACTCCGCCATGGGCTCCATGAATTGTGTTTAATTCTGATAACATAGAATCTGGTTTATCTAAGTTATTACACTGAACATTCCAAACTTTTAAAATACCGTCTTCTGAACTAGATATAAGATGTGTTGTCGATCTGTATAATACAAATAAGCATAGATTATATAAATATGCACATTTTCTTACAAATAAGCTAAGCAAAACTTTTTCATGATGAAAAACTACTTGAACACGAATGAGATGATGCTATACCAATGTATTTTCTTTTTTCCCAGCAACTTTTGTCAAGTCTTTAGATTTCCTTACTCTTTACAACTTTTGAAAACCTTGGAAATTAGTGAGAATTAATAAAATTCACGTGAAGTTTGTATTTTAATCGCTTAAATTGTTCTTTACACTTAAGGTTCCGGGGATAATTTACAATACCTCGATGTGAATAAAAATGGTGTGACTTGTATGGAACTGATACGATGTCCAAAAGTTAGGTCTAACAGTCAGGTATTAGTTGACTGGAGAATGAATGATCTGCAAACTAATTTCCGCTAATTGCCTGTAGCATTTATTCATGTTTATTATTCTGTTGATATTTTGAAAATAAATGCAGGTCACATAAAAAAGCCTATTCTGGCTTACGGTCTTGTCTTTGATTTCAGATCACTTGGCGGCTGACGTCATGTGAACACATATCAGACACCCACATCATATTCTTACATATCGTCTATTGATAAGTATTCCTTTCTTACATTATAACAATCGAAAATTCACTTCATAAAATCATAGATGCCTATACCACAGAAGTAACAACTTCTACCTACGTTGAAGATGAAGAGGTATATAGACGTTGTCAAAGCCCAACCGTTTACAATCATTTCGTATTAGCGAAAAATAAATGAAAGGACATCAGAGGATTAACCTATGCTACCGTCATAACATTTCAAAAATGGAATATCGAGGTTTCGTAGATGCTTAAACCTTCAAAGGTGTGACACTGGATATACTATCGTTAAACTGAGCTTAGTGATCAGATAGAAAGTTAGTAACATTGCGAAAAGATTTGTGATGTATGCATGAGAAGTAGGGATAAGTAGACAATGTGTTTTACTATCCATGATGGGTAATTACATTCACTACAAGAAGACTATTCTGATCAGACGAGAGAAGAAAAAGTGAAACCATGTTTTTTCTCTTAATTCGGTGTGATCGTTGCTGAATATTGTTTCCTTTTTTTCAAAGTCATTATGATAACTGCTTAGAATAATATCCGTTTTATTTTTAGGGTAATACTTTGCTCAACATAAGGTCGCTTTTATTTTCAATATGATTTTTATCCAGTATGATATTATTTGTATTAAACTAACGTGAGCTATGTTTGGCTTGACATGGGACATGTGGTGTTTTTTATAACTCTAGATGTTTCACATATCTTTGACGCTTTCTAATTACTAATCCAGTGAGTATATAAATTAAGACACAAATGAGTGTATTTTTGATTAGGATCGTTGTGTTTTCAAATGAGTAAATCTTCACTTGTACCAGTGTTTTGTATTGTACGTTGTAAGAACTGTAGTGGTTTCTCGACGTCTTCAAAGATAAGTAATAGGATGTGACGAGGATATGACAATACATATTCACTCATATTTTTTTTCCAAAAGACAAACTTTATTGACCATAGATAGTAAAAGATATCATTCAGACCAGTGCATGATATAGTAGTTATGTTAGACTCAGTAATTCCGTTTAGATGATGTTTTTTCACAACACTTAGATACTTGAAATACTCGAGAACTGTGATGTCTTTTGGAAAATCAACAAACATACTGGAAGTCTGAAGTACAGCTATTTGGTTGTATTTCAGATATTCTATACAGTTTAGCCATTATCATTTGCTATCTACATTATTATCATTTACAAATTCTACACCACGACGATTTTTTAAACAAAAAAAATTAAAAGTATTATTGTGTCCAAAATGCATTCAAATCATAAGTTTTCATTGACGGAAATACAGTTCAGTCAGTTTAAACAGGAGACTGATTAACTGTGTTCATAGATTTATTGACTTACCTATCAAAGCAAACAGAACTGATATGAGCAGCATGTGCCTTATGAATTTGAGTAATAAGATCCAATTTGACAGGAACATTCTTAGATTTATGTAGTGATGACGGTGTTGAATCTTCTGATTCTATTAGATGCCATAAACAAATAGATTGGTCTTTAGAACCACTTGCAATCCATTGACCACATATGGATACAGTCAAATCCATAATCACATCAGTATGACCACCGGGAATAAGGTGACATTTCCATGAACCATCTGTTTTACTATTAAGATTATCTTCAGTTGTATTTTTTCTCTTTAAACTGAGTCCATATGGATTGAGGAAAATTTTCATGTGAGGTGACGCATCAGCTAGAATGAGATAATTGTGATTTTTGCCTACAATGCATAATTGATCAACTTGTCCAATGTCACCTAAGAACTGTTAAAATGAAATTTAAATTCTACTTTAAGAAATTGGATATTCTGGCTTCTTATTTGTATCGATAGGAATTTGTAAGGTCTATTACAAAATATCAAACTAATTTTGCAATCAATCAGTCAGGAATAGTTAAGGCAGAATTTGACACACAAGTAGCTTAACCCAAATTGCTAATATCAAATTATTACGAGATAGTTAGCAAAAGAATTAGAATAATAGTACGGTGTATGCCACTTATGTCTGTAGATATAAGTAGTATGTAACACAAATCGGAAGTGGAAAACCTGGCAGCAGAAGGCTAAGAAGATCGAGTTAAAGGGAATAGAAAGGAAAATAGAGAGGAATTGTGAACTTGAAGAAGCATACAGAATTTGAAGGTAAAATGATGGAAATCTGCAAATGAAGTGTTCAGTGTATAGTTCTTATATTTTACCAAGATAATTTGTAATTCTGTATTAAAATAAATTTGGCTGTCCCCCCACCTGTGTTCTCGTCTATTACAATAGTAGTAGCAATGATGGTGAAAGAGATTAAACATTGAGAATATGGTTTGAAAAAAGAGGATGAATCACATCAATCAGCGTCTTCAACCACCAAGATCATTGTTATCACGCGACTCTAACCAGCTGATCTGCTTCTAGCGAAATAGCTCAAGCCAATAGTCAGTGATCTTGGGAAGGACTTTTGCGTTTTGAAAAACTGACCTATCCAACATTTGTTGTGATTGGCAGTAACAATATAAATTGACATCAGATTTGTGAGTAATATACACGGTAAATTAAGGAATGTATTTATTAACAACAAGCGAATATTATTAAACCAAACAATCGTAGACAACCGCATAAGAATGAAAGTAATCCGACGTCTAACAAGATAAAATTTAGTGTGAAAAAAATTCGAATCATGCTAATAAAAACATGTTATGTTTAGGAGGGAACAAACCAACTTCCAGACGAAGAAATTAGGAAAAGATGTTGGAAGTGGATAGAACATGCATCACGGGAATTATCAAACTGCATCACGAGGCAAGCCCTAACTCAGATTCCTGAAGTAAAATGGAAAAGGGAGAGCCCAAAAAACTCATTACGTCGGGAATAGGAAGCAGAAATAAAAAGGATGAATAGTAACTTGAAAAAACTGGGAAGGATTGTCCAGGACAGAGTTCGATGGAGAATGCTGGTAGACGACCTATGCTCTTCCATGATGGGTAACAGGCAAAAGTAAGTAAGTACATATGTTTGTAAGGACTTTAGAAAACGAATGATGACTATATTCAGGATAAAAAGAGATAGTATAACCTTTTAGGTTTTCAATTTCACGTATTCTAATCTGCCATCTTACTCAAACTAAACAATAAACCTGTTATGATTTGAGATCTGACTATCTAAATCAGTGAGAAGAATGACAATCATGTTACTTAACCAAATTTGTGAATAGTGATGGGTGTGTGTAAGTTTTCTTTAGGAAATAGATAATATACAGAGCACTGATCTCGATGGCAATATGACTTCCAGTAAACTTAAACCAAAAGTTTTAGAACAAACCAAAAACTCTTGAAATAACCGTAGTTTTTACAGTACTAGTATATATGTAGTCTGCTGATTTGCAATAATTTTTTGATATAGAGAATATTTGTAGTTTATGATTGGGATTTCGTGCGCGATGCATTTTCTAAGTTGGATGGGTTATTCATAAACCTTTCATTGTCTGTCTAGACTACGGGATCCGATTGGTTAGTGTTCACAATTGTGTGAAATGTATGAGTGAAAGTGGAGACATTAGCTTGTGTATTTGATCAAGAGAGATAGATTATAATCTATGAAGGCAGTGATAATACCCAGTGGTTTGAAATAAACTGGATGAAACGTGGTTCAAAGATACAGCTTTAACACTAAAACAAACAATCCACTTTAAGAGGCAAAAACAAATCACCATATACATTCAACCGATCATAAGTGAGTTATATTAATGCGTATAATACTAATAATACGAGATATGTTGCACTATTTTTACATTTGGTGTTCGGAAGCATTACGAATAACAAACTTATATTTTCAAAAAATTATGAGATGAACAAATTAAGAATAAAACTACTATACCTCAGCCATTAATTTGCCGACCATTGGGTTATAAAATTCAACATGATTACTTTGACGCACAAGAATTAATCGTAAGGATGAGTTTTCACTTTCATCCAACACATTATCATTACTGTCTTTTATATTGTATACATTCAAATGACTGATGGAATGAAGTCCATAGTCAATTGAGTGGCGATCTAACGCAGTGAAACTATCAGAATCAGACTGAGGAGTCCGATCTAAGGGACCCTTGATCTCTAACACGCAACGCCCAGTATCTACATCCCAGCAACGCAAACAGCCCCACTGACCGCCAGTCAACAATAAAGAAGTATTGCTTTCAGAAAACGTGTGACCCAAGTGATTTGTTAATGCGCCAACAGGAAGGAAAGTACAAGCTTCTAAGCTCTATAAAAATGAGAAATATGAAAATTATAATTAGGAATTTTGTAAGTTATTTATCATCTAACAAAATCAAGTTAATCCAATCAAACAGAAGATAAAGTTTACTGGGTAAAAGTTAAACAGAAATATACTTTTTTGTTGATAAAATTGATCATTACAGATAGTTATAAATTCTGTAGTTTAGTTCAGGAAACTGATAAATAGATGTACTGAATTTGGACCTGGCACAAAGTGTATAATTTCAGGTTGCTAAACTTTAATACAGCGCAGCAGTAAGCCAAGATAAATGGGGAAGGGAGTAAGTAAAAAACAAATCAATACGAAAAATAAGGTGACGGAACTTTTCACACTTTAGAACGAAAAAACAAAGCAGTTCCTTTATGCCGTATTTCTCTAGGTCTCCAACCATCGACTTTAACTAACTTGTGGACCTCATCCAAGAAAACTACGATCTATTAATATCACTGATAAGGCTATATTATTTGGGTACAGATAATCTATTTAAAGACTTCTCAACAAAATATCGACCTTCAAAACATTAAAAGAGAAGATTTCTATGGTGTGCATCACGATTAAAAACGCTATTTAAAGAAACAACATAAATATTAGCTAAATCTATCGCGTCTGCACTGCATTAATATTTAGGATTATCAAAATACCTTGAAAAATTCAGATTAGCTTTGTCTCAATGTTATCATCTTGCATACTTTCAGTGAATAAATACAACACGTTTGCTACTAAGATTCCTTACGGTTTAAAACCTGCAAAGTTGATTTTACCACACAGGAATACTAATATTTATCCCTATCAAAGTTAGTCGTACGCTCATAACGATACACTAAACTGTCGCACGAGTACATTTTTACATATGTAAAACAAGCACAAACTTATTCAAGCTGGTTAGAAACACTGATCATGGTTAACGTTTGCCAACATTTCGGTTCTCCATACCGAAAGTAAGTGCGTATTATATTTATCACATGAAATATGGATTAGTCAAACTGCATATATACCACGGCAAAGATTATTAATGAATATTTGACGAAATGTTTGATTAATTTCTGAGTTCTTTCAGTCTGGTACATATATACATAAAAGGGAACACTTTGTCAACTGTTTTACAACTTGAACTGAACTGTTGTTAAGCACAGTAACAGATATACACAATTACAAACACAGATAATTTTTATTATTTTAATTATATACCGGTCAAAAACATAGAATTGTGATTGCCCCCAACTGATGCGACTGGGTAGATTTGAATTCATGTTACCAGCTTTACAGTCACAGTCGTTATTCCTGAGCTATCCGGGTCGAGACTGACCGCCTGTAGGACTAAGATGTATTTACAACTGATTGGTCGCTGGGTAGCGACTAAAATCATTTGTCGGAAGCACTCAGTGTTGAGTCACCTAGACTAATGACTGTACCAAAGACCTGAGATACATGACACTGATCGTTACCCAGTGATCAACCAATTGTAGGCCATCAATTTACTCAAGATTACAGGTACGCCTAGCCAACTGGTGCCAACCAGTCAGTCAGTAACAATGTAGAATTTGGTACGTACGTACATCAGTTCGAGTTACCACACCACATTAGCACAGAGATACAATTGTCGATTCAAATCCCATAGTTGTAGGGGTAATCAAAGTATAAGCAATAATCGAAAAGATTAGGGTTTGAAGATGTTATTTAAGGAGTACAATACAGTGAAATAAATTTGGAAAGAGAAAAAAAGGGACATGAAGAATTCACAAGATTAGAATTGGGAAGAACGCAAAGAGTGGATGCACCTGCGCGATTGCAAACGATTTTGAGCCATGTCATTCAGGGTCTCTAACCATCGGTTGCTATCACCTCGCGGTCCCCAACCAGGTAGTTTACACCTACCAACATGGCTCAGTTCACTTGCCAGTGAATTCATGGATTTGTGCCACGTTTAGGTCTGGCCGCCAGTAGCCATATTCCAACCTACTCCTACACCATTGAACATCGCACGTGCCAAACAACCTCCAATCACCCAATATTAAGCATAGTGGACAGGATTTTGAATCCCTGAGACTGGTGGTTACGTCATAACTTGATTGATCGAGTTCGATAAGCACTAGGACTAGACAAACATAAAGTTCGTTAGAACCCAGTGATCAACTAATGCACGTTTAAATATTCCTTTTCATGACTTACCTCAAAGGTAGGTATGACTTTTTGTTTTGTGAAGTCTACGAACGACCAGACAATAAGAACTTTATCGCGCCCACATCTGAAAATACATGATAGAGATAAATTTTGTTTCTTACGTAACTAATTCATTCCCTCCAGCATTGAAGTCCAAACTTGTAACAATGCTTTGATGACCTTCAAGAGAAGAGACATGTTTTCCAGTCTCAATGTCCCACACAGCTACAAAGTGATCACCCACTGAAGATGAGAAAAGGTACGGTAATGTCGGATGGAATTTCAATAGTCTGTAATGGGAGCGAAATTTAGGAAATGTTTAATAAAATACTTCATAATAATAGAAGAGAATTCATGGATCAAAAATAAAATAATAAACGTGGATATTTCCTTTGATGAAACTGATCCGAAAATAGGAATCAAGAAATTCAAATTCTCACCAGTGTAGGATATTATCTCGACTTCTGTAATACAGCCACATACTACTAAGTACGTTTTCATATTGTGGAAAATATTTGTCAGATACAAAATTGATATTATTCCTAGTGTTCAGATAAAAGCAGATAGTTTTCTCGGGAAGTCGATCCCCGAACCTTTGAACTAGAGCTCTAACTCACAAGGCAGTGGAGTGACGTCACAAGATACAGTCCCATGGTAGCTGCTGCCCAACAATAGGTTCATACGTCATTTGTCCGTTCAGGATTCTGGAGCCCATGCGCACCATCGGTTTAGAATCAGGCTGTATACGCATGACCATTTGAGAGCATTTCCGGAGGGAAAGCAGACTCTCACCACCCTCGGCCGTACCATGGCATTTGAGGGATACCATACTTCACACGGCACACTGAAAAAAAACTAACCAAATGGAATCTCAATATACAAATAGAAACATCTTATCAGTGTATTGAATAAACAAACCAAAGGCCACCTAACCAAACAGTGTTATTTAAAGGTGGGATTTCAGAACCGCAAAGCATAACAATGGATGGTGGTTTTGCAAGTGGAGAGAATGAATAAATGTAAACTACGGTTTAGCCAATCATATCCGAAGTTTATTTTTATTAGAGTTCTGTCATTAATGTTGTACTTTTCTGGTGTAAGCAAACGTGACCATATGGCATGAGACACATTCATTTGAAATTGTCAGTGATTTTACGCCTAACATAGTATCATTAAGTGATGTCCTGTCATTTTATTTGGCTAAATTGGAAAATTCAAGCCAACCAGCATAAAAATGATCAAATCCACATTTTTGAGTACATCAATATAATAGTTCTTCAAAATACGAGTTTATAAATATCTACTTCATTCTTACTTCAGTACAAGAATTCATCCAGAGTACTGTCACTTACTAACTATGTCAAGTCCAAGAATATTAAAATTGCACTTTGAAGGCCTTTTGAGTTCGGACTTTCAGTACTGGCTATCCGAAAGATCAAAACACATCAGACGATACGATTTAATGGTGCAGCGCACAACTCCGTAACATATTGTACCTAATGCCTATATAGTAAATAGTGACGATGCAAAAAATGAGACACATATATACCACTAGCCACCACTTCTGAAAATGTCAGGTACTTGGGATTTGTCAAGAATGTCATAAATTACCGCGTATGATAGGAATACTGGACTCTAAAAAGTCTGAGATGAGAAAGAATGTAAGAACTGTTAAATTAGTTTAGACCAAATAGGATGTCAGATTAACTGTAAAAGTCCTTTGTTAACAGATGAAAATATTTAAACTAGAAATACATGTTTATTTGAATCGTCTCTCTAGTAAGCTAAGAACCATCAGATAGTCCAGCTGAGCCGCTACTGTGGACGTATATTGTTGGAAATTTTTAGCTTTAATCTCTATGTGTACCAATACAGTAGTTTGAATTGTATAAAATTAAAACAGTTCACATACGTTATCATTCCTTGGTGCAGTCGACAGCTTTTTGAGGAGCCTTCCTTTGGACCAATATGCCATAATCTAACAACCATATCTCCTGAACCGGTAGCTAATCGTGTTGAAGTTTTGTTAAGCGCCATTTTCTGCACGATTCTTTGGTGACAAGACTAGGCAGCAGATCTGAGTTCCAAATGAACTACTTACCATCCATACTTTTGTAGGCCTTAGAGAAAGGCTATCAAGACGTTTTAAAAGCAAGTTCTTAGTAGCAATAAATATCTCCTACAAAATAAGAAACTAAACATGTGTTTACCGATCCGGCTTCATCAACAATGAAAGATGTGATAACCTCATCATCCTGAAATGAAGGCAAAAACGTCAAACACTTTACCCGAATTCTGTTGACCAAAGTGAACGAATTTTCATCGAGTACATTTATACACAGTGAGTCGTCAACATCTCTTCCACAATAAATTTTACCTGACTTAGTGTGCTGCGTATTTCAATAATTATGCAGTGCAATTCACTTACGAAGATTGGATATTGAGAGTTAAAGCAAGGCTGAAATTTATCAGCTAGTTTGAACCTTCATAAGAGCCTTATTTAAAAAGTTCGAAGCCTACTTTAGTTTAGTAGCCATGTGACTAAAGTCAATACGAGCGCCGGCGTTGAGGTGAAGTCAAGGTTTCTAGGACTCAGAATAATGTCCTATTATTCATGATTAACAACTTTTTGATTATCTTAGAGACTGGTCAACTCTTTTGCTTCAGATCAACTCTGTCTACCGGAACTTATGATAAGTCTAATATTGCACTTCTACTGATCAAAAACTTCAGGTTTCGGACAAATTCAAATGGTGTTTAGAAGCAATTGATCACCTATTCCTTCACGTAAAGACCTAGGTACATGAAATAAGTAAAATTAACAAAGGCACTAGCACACTGGTATAAAATAGTATTCCGAGTTCTTGGCGATGTATTAAGTCTCCTCTTGAAGGATATAAATGGTGCTGTTTGGACCACTTTGGCCTGTGGTGGAGTCCAAGTATTTAATGCGCTCAGCTAGTAGGCGTACCTACGATCAATGTCAAAATGTCCTGTCCCTATTTTTCAAGCAGAATTCATAAGGTTTGTATCGGAATGGCCTTCGGTAATTCTTTTAAATGATAACTAGGAGTGTTTAGGATACTGTAATTCATTAGCAGCAGCCTCTGTCTCAGTAGACATCGTGATGTACTAGAGGAAAGGCGAAATGTTGAAACGCAATACAGCGACCACCAACTCAGTCACACGTGATGGAGAGGCTGATGACGAGGTGTAAACTTTCACATGCCGGGCAGCATCATCGGTGAACAAGGAGGATCTGATACAGATGTGGAAGCACGGACTGACAGAGTACGTGTTCGTATTTCCGGGAACGCTCCAAAGAACTTGAGACTGAGAGGCGCAACAGCTTTAGACAGTGCAATATCTCTACATTTATTTGATACTCAGCATACTACTGACATCCCACAAGCCTTCAAAATTATTAACAGATAAAAGACTCAGCTCCTCTCCAGTTTATCGAAACAATAGCAATAAAAATGCTTAAAGATGATTTATGTATCCAGAAAGTTGTAATAATAAACTTATCTCCATCTTTGAAAATCAATTTTGTCATTATCACTTGTCACATGGACTCGCTTTACATAAGAATTACTGCTAGAATAACCCCAATGATAATAAAGTAAAAATCGAAAAACTGTCTAAGCTGAATGACCACAACTGAGTTTACATCAACAAACGGTGGAATTTTTTGAAGTGCACTCTGCTTCAGTCCATCGATTAACGTACTTAACTTTAGTGGTTACGAAAAAAACACTTCACATTTTCTCCGTTGATAATTATCCTACCAGCAAACTCATCAGCACCAAACTAATTGCTTGGAGCAGATGATTTATAGCAGCAAATAAAGCCCAAAGATCCATAGCTCTGTAAGTAATCAACATTCATTGCTGACCGCATTAGCTCCACTGGACTCACCCAGATGAAGGCGCTCGGTCACGAATCCGCACCATATCACGAGTGTGTACGCCGTGCTACACATCCCTTTCGACTACTGGCCAGTTTAGATCAAACATCCCTTCGACATACCGATAGCCTTCTAACTATATCTCCGAACTCCTTCATCTCTGACTTCCGACTTGACTGGTTTGGCATACATCGATTATATAGGTGCTACTGGTTAGGCGTTATCGAACTCAGAATACTTGTGGCAGCTTTAGATTACTCCACGACGATACGGGAGAATGATTATCTCGCAAGGCATTACGCAGTGAATATGAGTTAAAAATCAAATAGATGGATCAATCTATCAAACTAATTTGATCTAGTCTTCGGGTTTTTATAGATGTGTGAAAGGAAGGGGATAACATGAACTGAATATACTACACCGAATTACCTCAATAGTATCAGGTTCTTCACTCCGGTTGATAGACTATCATCCGTAAATTTATAATGTAATAACTCCTGATCTGGTATATCTCAACCAGCCGACAGCAAGCTAAGTGTTTTCCACAGTCAACTGTGCATTGAGGGTTTTCAAGCCAAACAGATCTTGATGCTCCAGAACCCGTATATCTTTACCGGTACAGAAAGAACCTAACAGTGTACTAAAAAGATGCACAAATCTACGTTGATTCTCTATTGATATACTCTTCAAGTATTCGCTTGCTAAAAATTGACTATCGTTTAAATGTAAAAATTGTGCAGCCATACTTGCACACTATGGTGGTAACAAGGTAGAAACTATCGATCTCTGACTAATATTCCTGCTCTCTTCGATGGTCAAGATCATTTAACGAGTTATTGGTGTATTTCTTCGGCCCCGTCTTCCTGATAACTTTATTCTATTCTTATTGCCGTATGACTTTCTTCTTGGCAGACTTTGTAGTATAAGTTTACCGGCAGTCTAGCAAGGCATATCTACTTAATACGGATCAGCCTTCTAGATCCGTCCAGAGCATTAGATTGAGTTAATCGTCGAGCTCTTCCGGAAGCTAAATCTAGCCAGAACTATTGAGTGTTTGATGAGGTTGATTTTAGGTTAATTATGGGAGATACATGTAGGGCCAGCAAAATGTTACTGAGACTTAGACAAATCATCCGACAGTCAGGCCACTACATATCAAACAGTTCATCGAGTCCCGTCAGAGTCAAGGGAAATAAAAACATCTTAATCATGTGCACATATAGACAAGGGCACGCAGCTGTGGTCATTTACTTTTTCTTATGCCTACTATTATTATTACGTTGTTGTAACAACGTTATGTGTGTTACACAGTCATCAAAGTACCAATAGTATCTAGATACAATGGAAGGATAATCCATGTTAAGTATCAAGCACGACGTGTGATTTAGAAGTGAGCTGGGAGGCCAGGTACTTCTCGTCTAACCGAAGTAGGCACTAAATCATCCACATGGATCACGTACTTGGTGATCTACAGACCATTAACCTTCAAAGTTAGTTCCGCTTTGCAATAACAAGTGGAGTCCCACAAGGCTTGTTTCCAAGGTCGGTTGATGATTATCGCTCATCGATAGCTTAAGTTATACTTAAGAACCACAGACTCTACTATATTCAGATGATATCAGTAGAATACGGGGTCTTGCCAACATCTTTACTTTTCAAGAATCATTGAATAAGGTGCACAGCTATGTCATCGATTATCCCCTTCCTATCGATACTAGCTAATGCAAAATGCTAATAGTAAACTTTTTGAGTCTTTCAAATGTCTCAGTTTTCACCACTGTAAAGGGATTTGGGATCGTCCTAAGCGATATCCTTGGTACCTCTTCTCACTAAGATTCGGTAGCCAACAAAGTACAGTCCTTCTAGGTATTTCTCTCTAAGGCTTTATGTAGCCTGACTTCATAACAACTATAAACTGTTTTAAGTGCATAATTAGGATTTCATCCAGAAAGGACTGTTAAGTTATGTTCTCATTTTAGAATGAATTTATAAAGTAGAAACATACAATTTACTCGATCTGTAAAACAACACTCATCACTTCTGGGAGTTCTGAACTTGCAACGCAGGAAGTAAAGAAGGATTAAGGGGAGGTCGCAGTGATTTATAATATAACTCATAATACACTTCACCCGGCAGAATACTTGGATGTCTAATTTATACTCATGAAAACATCTATTTAAGATAAGAGTCTCGCGAACATTCATGTTAACTTATTAATGATCAGAACCAATGAGATGTGAAAATCTATACAGACAGCAATATTGACAGGATTTCCGAGGAAGACTTGAACTTTATTCTAGTTCTCTAGTTGTTGCAGGGGTTCACTTCAGTGAGAGATTTCAGATTTCTGTAGTAAGGACAGAGGGCCTACGGTTTATGTTATTACTTTTCTAATATGCTTCTGTGAGTGTCCAGTCTTCTCTTGAGTGAGTCAATTGAAGGTGTGGAAAACACTTCTTCGGGCAGCAGGTCCCAAGTATTGATGACTCGGCCTAAAAACCTGAATTCCACGGGTGTTTTGTTCGTTCTTGGCTTTCTGCTCGCCTTCTATGTCCTCTGAAATGTCCCGATCTAGTGGGAAGAAAAAGGGAGAATATGTTAGGTCCGAAATCGTTTATTGGTATACTATACATCAAAGTTAGATCACCCCTTAGTCTGTGATAGGACAGAGTAAAGAGGTCCAGCTTTTCAAGCCCTTTATTGTATGGAGTTCTGGAATTGTACGGGTAGATGCCCTCTGTACTTTTTACAAGATATTCGAGTTACCTTTTAAACAGGGGCTTGCAGCCTGAACGCAGTTCTCAAGCTTAGTTCTCACTAAGGTTGTGTATGCTGTAGCGAACATGTTAGTATCTAACTTACTGAGTGTCCGTCTAAAACCCAGAGGGTTCTATACCCCTTAGCTGAGACCTACCGGCAATGGGCCACCGTCTTAAGATTGTGAGACCCGATCACGGGTACAGGCACTTTCCCATATTAACCTTCGTATCCCCAAAGTGCATGTACAAGCACTTTGTCAAGGTTGGTAGACACCAGTTAATCACATTATTTAAATCTGTCTGGAGTGCGCGTGTATCTTCATCTCCCGTTATTTCTCGCCAGATTTTTACATCGTCAGCATATCATAACATTTGGGACTCAACTATACTCGGGAGATCATTTACATACAGTGTTAAAAGAAAAAGACGTGAGACAGAACGTTTGTAGTGTCAGTCATTATTTTAAGCCCATATATCTTATATTCTAGTTTTCGGACATTCCATTTTATTCATTCTACTTCAGTCATATTTTGACCTTGTCAATTATTCGCTTATTAGTCTTGACTGTTTTTATATATGAGCGTATATGTGTGTACACTTCATATCCCATGACTCATCACATGTTTGTAGTTTATTTTTGTCTGACTATAAATACTGAGTAACGCTTGATTAAAATGGAGTTGGCTTCCCAGCCATCTTCCATACGTGTCAAAATTGCTTTGTTACGGCTCTCGCTCGCTTAGCATGCGAACGGGTCACCACATTGGTAAGCCCGCCGACGACGAACGCAACGCAGCAAGCTACGTCGATGAAGGAACTTCTGAACTCTATACGTTCAACGAACAAATTCAGCGAAGCCAGCGCAATTTCTAATCCGACGGACTCAGCAAAGCCTGTGCAGCACGACATGGACATGCACAAATCTTATTATCTTATTGTTACTTTGTCCTCATGTCAGCTATTCTCATTGATCCATTCGTCGGTTTGTTCGATTACGATTCAAATTATCATTATATGCTCATTATTATATTATTATCAATATCATGACCGAATGTGGAATTATTAATCTTGTTCGTGCTGTCATTAAATTATGACATTTTCGCAATCATATCACTCACCGAACAAATTATCATTTTATGAAAATTCCACTCCACTTTGTGAGAACTCATTGGGATATTTTTACTATTCAAAAACGTGAAATTTTCCTGCTTTAAGTGAGTTCGTTCCAATTTTTCATGTCATTTTGATCTAATATTACATTCATTCACTT